AACCACCCTGCGGAGACACTCTGATTTTCAAATGTGGGTAGTTTTCCCTATTGCAATAGCCCGAATAAAGTCAACCTCCTTACTTGCTCAGTTTTTGTTGTTTGCCTTTGACCAAAAAAAAAAAGAAAGGAAGAAAAAAAAAAAGAAAGGAAGGAAGGAAGGAAGGAAGGAACAAAGGACGGAAAGACCACAAAATGAGGTGGAATAGAGAGTGAGCTCAACTGAAAAACAGCACAAACTTACGGTTATCAGATTAACAACTTTGGCGTTGTAATGTGTAGCGATGCGATTATACTAATAATGCTACATCTTGCATTTGAATGTTGCTAAAAGAGTAGATCTCAAATGTTCTCATCATGAAAAAAATAAATGGTCACTACACGGCTATGTGATAGGATGGAGGTAATAGTATGGTGATGTGAAAGAAAACACTAGCCCAAAATGGAGTCACTTGTGTTAAAGCTAATGCTACCAAACCTAGATTTAATACCTGACCTAGTTGCTGCTTCAACCTCTCCCAGACATTTAATCAAAAAGTCTGGAATTTCCTGGTCAACACCATGATATCACCTGTCACATGGGCCCTCTCTAACCCCAATAGAAATAGCAGGAAATCCATATGATGAAAATGGTTGCCATTCCCTTCCCCCTAGTAGTTGACGTCCTGGTCTAAAAACAATCCATTCTTTTCTTTTGTTAGTAGCCCTCTTGCCCACTCTTCTTCTGGTAAAAACTTTCCATTTTGTACAACCCCTTGGAGCACCCTTCTGGTTGCTACATGGGATGCTGTCCAATTCACGAATAGCTTATTAGAGCCAACTGGATCTTCAAACTGAAAGATCAGTCGGAGGCCAGAATCAGGTGACACAAGCTTTATCAGAGGAAAGACCTGCCGGGCTGTCTCGAAAAGGGAGAGCAGCAGAATGTGCAGCGATTAGAACTCTTTTTAAGGAGAATGAGAAAGGCACAAGGGCTTGGGGTGCTTGGCGAGAGCTGGTTGGTTAGACAATGTATATGTCCATACAAGGTGTTCCTTCTGGGGTGGGGCCACATCACATTTACAGTAAATCATCGCCATTCCAAGGATGGGTGGGTTTAGTAATCTCATTCCACGGAAAGGTCAGTGAGTCATCGCCATTCCAGGGATGGGTGGGTTTAGTAATCACATTCCAGAGAAATGTGAGTCTGTCACAAATTTGCTCGGTTGAATTTTGTTCTTTAACAACTATTATACTCAGAGAAAAATCACTGCAGTTGTTCTTTTCTTTTATTGGAGGTGCGGTTCACAACTTTTAATATTTTCCTTTTCCTGTGTGTGTGTGTCTCTCTCTGGCTGTCTTAAGCGAGGGATTCTACAAATGTTACAACACTTATTGCCACAGCAATGAGTGGGACTGCATTACTTGCTTTCCCAGTGCTTTCACCTGCACCTCATACAAGACTGACATTGATGATAACTTGAGTAATTGTGATGCCACTTTCTGCCATGTGTTACCCAAGCCCCATTTTCCCCTCACAACGAGGTCATCCCGGAGCTTTTCAAAGTGTAACCAACCCGGTCCTCGACCCCTACTTTGAGAGTTTCTTTTCTGGTGCCAATCCTGCTACCCTTTATGATATCCATCAAGTCCCAATAGGCTTCAGATGACACACTGAATTTAGAATAACTTGAGAAGAGTGTAATAAGGCCATATTTACAAAAGTATAGGCAGGATTTGGGGAAATCACAAGGCATTGTGCAGTAATTGATGGCTATTAAGAGAAATTTGCATTACAGGAGTAGAGAATTTGGTCTGCCATCAGCCAGCCCTCAGTGGCCTGCAGGGAAGGACACAAGGGAATAAATATCTAAATCTCATCCTTCTTCCCTCTTGCTAATCCTACCCCATTGACACAACCCAACAGGAAGCCAGAGGGCAAATAAATCTCTTAATTTAGATGATAAGATTAGCCTTCTTGGGCAATAGGGCAGGGAAGAATATGAGCTAGTAGCAAACGGAAAATATCCAACATCTGTATGAGAAATGCTCACCTGTCTGAATTAAAATAATGGACTGGAGACAGAAGTATGGTGAAAACAAGACTTTTAATAGTTCTCAAGAGCAGGTGCCCGTAGGTTGTATAGGCAGGCACAATACCTGGAGTAGCAGCACAGCCTATTTATCTAGTCCAGTGGTTCTCAACATTGGCTGCACATTAGAATCACCTGGGAATCATCCTCTGGAAATTCTGTTTCTTTGTTACTAATGTTGTGGCCCCGCCCCATAATGAAACAGAATTTCCGGATGCTGAGGCCCAGAAATCATGATTTTAAAAAGATTCCCAAAGTGGTCATGGCCCACAGGTTGAGAACCGCTGATCTAAGGGTTTTAAGGGTGGAGATTTTAGGGGAGGTCCCAGGGGAAGCTCTCAATAGACTATTCAGCAGCTTTCCAGGTGTGCCCTTTCAGGGTTGGGGTCTCCACTGATTGATTGGTCAGTGCCAGGGTCATTATTCAATGCAGCTTTTCCTGAGGTCAACCTTGGCATCACTTGTCAGGTGTTGCTGCTTTGCTGAGCCTGGAGCTGAGATACAACTAAGGCTTAGAAGTGATCTCTAAGGATGAAGGTCAGAGGGTCTAAACCAGTGGTTCTCAACCTTCCTAATGCCGCGGCCCTTTAATACAGTTCCTCATGTTGTGGTGACCCCCAGTTTCATTGTTATAAATTGAACATAATTAAAGCATAGTGATTAATCACAAAACAATATGTAATTATATATGTGTTTTCTGATGGTCTTAGGTGACCCCTGTGAAAGGGTCGTTCAACCCCCAAAGGGGTTTCGACCCACAGGTTGAGAACCGCTGGAAATGGAATGACCAGCAATATGAAAGGTGGGGGTTGGGGGTCCCAGTCGAATGACCAGAGATATGCTATGGGGCTGAGGTCCCACTCTATAATAAGCAACTGAGGCTTTCTGCCCTGGTGACCTTTAGTACCTGGCCCATCTCCATTGCTTTGTTCATGTCTGTCTAATTGCCTATCATAATTAGACATTTACATAATTCACTAAATGATTTCCCTAATAATTCTAGTACTCACCTGTCACCACATAGTTATTACAATATTATTGACTATATTTCCTATGCTGTACTTTACATCCTGATGACTATTTTGAAACTGACAATTTGAACTTCTTAACCTCTTCATCTTTTTCACCCAGACCTCCAATCCACTCCCTTCTGGCAGCCATCAGTTTGTTCTCTGTATCTATGAGTCTGTTTCTGTTTTGTTTGTTCATTCATTTTGCTCTTTAGATTCCATATATAAGTGAAATCATATGGTATTTGTCTTTCTTTGTCTGACTTATTTCATTTAGCATAATATCCTCTAGGTCCATCTATCTATGTTGTCATAAATGTAATATGTCATTCTTTTTAAAAAAATATATTTTATTGATTTTTTACAGAGAGGAAGGGAGAGGGATAGAGAGATAGAAACATTGATGAGAGAGAAACATCAATCAGCTGCCTCCTGCACACCTTCTACTGGGGATGTGCCCGCAACCAAGGTACATGCCCTTGACCGGAATCGATTCTGGGACCCTTCAGTCCGCAGGCCGACGCTCTATCCACTGAGCCAAACTGGTTAGGGCTATGTCATTCTTTTTTATGGCTGTTGTATATAGTATGTACCACATCTTTATCCAATCATGTATTAATGGGCACTTAGGTTGCTTTCATATCTTGCCATTTGTTTTAAATAACACTGTGGTAAATATAGAGGTGCATATATCTTTTCAAATTAGTGTTTTGAATTTTTAAAGATAAATACACAGAAATGGAATTACTGGGTCACTAAGGTAATTCTATTTTGAATTTTTTGAGAACATCCATACTGTTTTTCATAGTGGCCAAGTCAATTTGCAATCCCACCAACAATACACAAAGATTTCCCTTTCCCGAGAAGGCAGGGTTCGAGAAGGAATCTTCCCTGTGCTTGGTGTATTGAATGGGAGAATTTAGAAGAATATACATGGACTCAAAGTCAGTCAGACCAGTAGTGCTGAGCAGTGCTCCTGCTGTCTCTGACACTCCTGCCCTGGAGTCTTTTCACCTTTGCTCACCTCTCCAGTTGGGCTTAAACTGCCAACTTCTTATCCCTGATGAGAAGTAATCAGTTACTTGCATTTCTCTTTTGAGTCTTGCAACAACTTTAGGATGTGGCCCTTTTATGCAAAAGGAGAAACAGGTGGTAAGCAATTTACTGGAGATGTCAGTCTCTTGGGAGAGTTAGGGTTAGAACTTTTGTTAGGAGGTGGATATTTCTTTGTGCTCCATTAATGCTCACACCACCCAGACAAACGTCTTTACCTGGAAGCTGTGCCTCCTAATTTTCTGGCTCAGGTATCATAAAAGAGGACCATGAAGTGCTAACCCTGACTTTTATGAGTCCTGCCATGACCTCTCTTGAGTTGACACAGGGGCATGGAAAAAATTTCTGGCACAGTGATCAGGTTCTGGGTTACTGGTCAAGGTAAAACTAACCATTCTGATGGATCAGTGGGACAAACAAAAGGGTTGAGGGTGTTGTCAAAGTTTACAAGTGGAAAGATAAGGTCGCTGTTATCTGAGTTTGAGAAGGTGGAATCTGGAGTTTGATTTGTGACATTTTAAAGTGTTTATAAAATATCCAAGTAGAGAATGTCTCATTCAGTTTGGAATTCGGGTTAGAGGTGTAGGGCTGCAGGTGGATGTTTGAGTCTTAAGTGTATAAATTGTATTTAAAGCGTTGAGAGTCGTTGCGAGTATAGAGAGAATAATTATAAGAAGCTTGAAAAGTGAGTCCCAAGGCTCTCAAACAATTAGCAGTTGGGGACAGGTGCTCAACCATCAGAATCCACCTGGGTAGCCTGACCAGCATGCCCGCCTAAGCTCAGAACTACATTTCCCAGAATCCTTTCCGCTCTGTGCTTCCGGGTTAGAGCAGCCAAGGAGTCACGCGTGATTTAGAAGGCGGAAGTGAAACGGAAGCCATTATTCTCCGGAGGCGATAGTCGCTTTACACCTAGGCTGTAGAGAGCTCCCCTGCGATTTCCTCCAGTTGTTGGTGACCTTCCGCCTCCCTGCGGCCGACTGGACCTTCCGTTTGAATTTCTCGGCCCTCCGGCGGCAGCTTCCGTGACCTCTGCCCCCCACGACGTTACCCTCAGTAGGGTAAGCCCGGCTTTCCTCGTTTAACCCTTTACTCTCGGCGTCTCTGAGAACACCAGAGGCCTGCAAGGCAATGAGTTATGGGGGACCTGGGACTGGGACGCGAGGTGGCCCGGCCAGTAGTGTGTTTTAGTCCCTGTGGAGACGCGAGGACTGAAATTTAGAACCATATTTAGCGACATATTTAGGCGCTGATGACTGGTCAAAAAACAAACGAAAACCAAACACCTGACACCTTGGGGTGGAGACAGAAAAGCCAGGCCGAGTGAGTTCGGGATATTATGGAGGCTCAGGAATTAGAGACCTTGAGGATGAATTACCTTTCTTTTGCTTTTGTGGTCAATTTTCTTTGTGGTTAGTTTGGTCTACTATTAACACAGGCACATTGTTTTTGGCAGCATTTGTCTTTAATGCTTTTTATACTCAAACTTTTGGTGCACTTGTCTGTTTTTATTTTATTAATTTTAGTTGACTCGTATGTAAATAGCCTATAACTAGATTTAAAAATTCAGTTGGGCATTGTTACTTAACTTGAGAGTTAGTCCATTAATAGTTATTGTGATTACTGACAGTTTGCATTGATTTTTACCATCTTACTTGGTTCCTTTGATTTATCTTTCTATAGGACATATGTGCCAAAAAATGTATGAAAACACATAGACACAGTTAAAAGGACAGCAATAAAGCAAATCCACAAATCAGGCCAAGAAAAGATTATGAAACCTCAGAAACCTGTGTGCTCCTAAATTGCATCCTCCTCTTCTCCAAGATTTTTTTTATGGATTCTACTGTTTATATGCATTTCCCCCAAAATACATTTTCCAGTTTTAGTAATTATTTTTTTAGTGTACTCACGCTCTGAACTATTTTCATGCACATCTTTTTTCCATACGGATGCAACTACACATTCTAATTTAGAGATTTCTAAGTATCTTGTAGGTGGAGTTCGTACACATACCCATTGTTTTTTAGGTACCTTGTGGCTTAAATTTTATTTTTTCAAAAATTTTTTATTGATTTTGAGAGAGAGAGAGAAACATCGATTTGTTCTTCGTATTTATGCATTCATTGGTTGTTTCTTATGTGTGCCCTGACCAGGGATGGAACCTGAAACCTGGGTGTGTCTGACAAAACTTTAACTAATTGAGCTACCTGGCCAGGGCCTGGAAGCTTTTTTAAGATAGTATTTATTAGGTCAAGGAAGCTCCCTTCTTTCCCTAGTTTAAGAGCTTTTCTTTTTTTTCCTCATGAGCAGCTGTAGCTTTTTACAAGTGATTATTTCTTTCTAGCATCTACTTGGATATCTGTTTGTTGATGTATTTCAAACACCTAGGGATGCCTGGCTTGTGATAGGTACATGGAATGAATGAGTGAATAATATGCTTTTCTTATTTGTCTGATAGAGTGGTGAATTATATCAATGAGCACTTCTAATATTACATTAAATATGCATTGGTAAATAAATTACTTGGGAAGGATACTTATTATTGTATCATTTTTTGGTGATTTGGATCTGTGTTTGTAATTTTCCTGTCCTATTCAGGTTTATGCCAGCCATATAAACTTTTTTCTAAACTTGGCAGTGTTTTGCCTAAGAATAGAGTGACTTGTTTCATAAAGGGAACTGTACCAAGAAAAACGGTTTAGGTCTGGAGTTTGCTTTGTGGGAAGTCCTAAAGCTGTTGTTTCCGTTCCTTTAAGGGTTATAGGGCATCTAAATTCTCTATTTCATTATGGTAGATAAAATTTCTATTCATGCCATCTAAGGTTTAAATTGTATAGTCAAAGTTGTTAATAATGTGCTCATATTTTTAATGCTTGCTACATCTGTAATGTTAAGTTTTTCATATATATATATTATACACACACACACACACACACACACACACACATATATATATATATATTTCTTTCAAAAATATAAATCCTGTCAGAATTTGGTCAATTTTGTTTTCTCAAAGAACTTTAGACTTGATTGAAGCACTTTATAATATGGTTTTTTTTTTATTTCAAACTTTCTATATAATTTTCTTCCTTTTACTTTTTTTTGGGATGTGTCTAATTTCTTACATTGGGTATCTGTAACATCCCACAGAAGTGCAGTATGTAGTATTGTATTTCAGTTCTAAATATTATGACTTCCTTGACCTATGAATTACTTAGAATTTTCTCTTTTAATTTTCAAATTTTCATTCCTATGACTTTGTTGTTGTTGTCTTTAGTCATAGTTTGCTTAACTTTATTGCACTGGTCAGATTGATGCCATTTTCTGAGACACATTGTGCTTGTATGGTTGGATTTTATAGTTAGGAAATACTGTTTCATCTTAATCAGACTAGGTATAGCTATTGAATTACATGCCTGAACTGTATTAATGAGAGCTCTGGTGGTGCTTAGAGTCTGTCCTTTTTAATTTTTTTCATACTTTTGAGGCTGTGTCATAACATATTCAGGCATACACAGCATTTTCTTCAGTTATACTTTTCACTATGTAATATCTCGGATTTCTCTCGGAGCTTTATTGCCTTAATCCATTTTGTCTTGTGTTAATATTTTTAAACCAGCTTTAAAAAAAGTGTGTGCCTTATATATTTTTAAATTTTCATTCTTGTTATATTCCTATGTGTTAGATATCTCTTAGACACAGCATATAACTGAATTACTTTTAATCCATTTTGAGAGTATCTATTCTAGTTGAAGCATTTTCATTTCTTTTTTAATTTTTTAATATATTTTTATTGATTTTAGAGAGAGGAGGGGAGAGGGGACAGGGAGAGGGAGAGAGAGATAGAAACATCAATGATGGGAGAGAATAATTGATCAGCTGCCTCCTGCACACCCGCTACTGGGGAAGGAGCCTGCAACCTGGGCATGGCCCTGACCGGAAATCAAACCATCACCTCCTGGTTCACGGGAATCACTAAGCCACACCCTCTTGGCTGAAGCATTTAGTCCATTAACGTTTTTTTTTTTTTCATATATTTTATTGATTTTTCACAGAGAGGAGGGAGTGGGACAGAGAGTTAGAAACATCAATGAGAAAGAAACATAGATCAGCTGCCTCCTTCACGGCCCCCTGACTGGGGATGTGCCCACAACCAAGGTACATGCCCTTGACCGGAATCAAACCTGGACCCTTTAGTCTGCAGGCCGACGCTCCATCCACTGAGCCAAACCGGTTAGGGCAGTCCATTAACATTTTATGTGTTAATATATTTGGTTGTTGAATTTGCCTTATCTTTTTCCATTTATTTTTTCTAGTTACCTTTGATTTGAGTATTTTTTATTCTACTTTTTTCTTTGAACATTTTGAATTTATTTTACTTATATATTTACTCTGAAGACGTTGGCCTTAGAAGGGAGGGCAGACATTTCTTGTTTGTAATAGGAGAGGAAGAGATAATAGGTTAGTTGTGGGAGGAATTTTTGTATAACTAGAGACCAGAAAGTAAGAAAAATTTCTTTTAACTCTATAGATTACAAGAAAATGCACAGATCTTAGGTGATCAGTTTGATTAATTGTTTTTGACAGTTGTGTACATTGTATAACCACTAACTAAAAAAAAAAAAAAATACCTGTAGCCCTAACCGGTTTGGCTCAGTGGATAGAGGTCAGCCTGCGGACTGAAAGGTCCCAGGTTCAATTCCGGTCAAGGGCATGTACCTTGGTTGTGGGCACATCCCCCCCCCAGTCAGGAATATGCAGGAGGCAGCTGATCAATGTTTCTCTCTCATCAATGTTTCTAACTCTCTATTCCTTTCCCTTCCTCTCTGTAAAAAGTCAATAAAATATATTTTAAAAAAATACATGTAGTTTTTCCTCAGTCTATCCAATACCATCTCATGTTCTCCATCAAGGCAACCACTTTTTTACCGTGGACTTAAATTAGTTCTTCCATTGACTTAAATAAGTTTTGCCTATTCACGAACATCATGTAATTGGAATCAGAAAATTTCTTGTGTCTATCTTCTGTTTGTCAACATATATTGTGTGTCTGGGTAGTTTCTTTTTATTGCTGAGGAGTATTTCATTGTACATGTCACATTTTGTTTTTTTTCTCTTGTTGATGGATATTTACATTGTTTACACTTTTTGGCTATTATGAATCAGAATGTTTCTTGGGTAAATATCTAGACGTGGAATTACTTGGTCAAATAGTAGGCCTACTATTTAAGAAACTGGCAAAATGTTTGAACCATTTCACATTTCCACCATCATTATATGATGGTGCATGAAATTCGTGCACAAGTAGGGCCCCTAGGCCTGGCCGGCGATCAGGGCAGATCTGCGGGGTGACCAGCAGAGCGATCGGGGGACTCCGCTGGCACCCATCTTGGCCGGCCTAGGGCCTGCAAGCTGGGGGCAGCTCCTCCGTTGAGCATCTTCCCCCTGGTGGTCAGTGTGCATTATAGCAACTGGTTGTTCTGCCAGTTGTTCCACCATTTGGTCGATTTGCATATTAGGCTTTTATTATATAGGATAGGGTGTATGCCACATTCTTGGGATATTATGCTGATGGTCTTTTATTTTGGCCTCTCTGGTGGGTTGAAATGCTATTAGTTTTGATGAAAAACTAATGATGTTTTAACTTGCATTTATCTGATAACAAATGATGCTGAGTACCTTTTGTCATGATTATTATATTTGTCGTTACATTTCGTGAAGTGTCTTGGTTCTAGCCTTTTTTTTTATTGTTTTGTAGGAATGCTTTAATCTGAATATGAAATTTTTGTCAGGTATGTGTATTAATATCCATCACCATACATAGTTTCAAAAATTTTTTCCTGTGGTCAGAGCTTTCAAGATCCACACTTTTAGCTACTTTCAAGTATGCAATACAATATTATTAACTATAGTTACCATGCTATACATCACATGACTTATTTTATAACTGGAAACTTGTACTTCTTTCTTCCCCTCTTTTTGTTGTTGTTAAATCTCACCCAAAGATATATATATTTTTTTTCATTGATTTCTAGGCAGAGTGGAAGGGAGGGGGAGAGACAGAGAGAGAGAAACATGATGAGAGAGAGAGAGAGACTCATGGATTGGTTGCCTCCCTCAGGCTCCCTGACCTCTTTTATCCACCACCACTGCCTCAGGCAACCATCAGTGTGTTCTCCATATTCTGACCTTGGCTTTTGTTTTGTTTTGCTTTTTTTAAGTTTCTATATATAAGTGAGAATTTTTTTGTCTGACTTAATTTCACTTATCATAATATCCTCAAGGTCCATCTATGTCACAAATGGCAAGATTTTTTTATAGCTGAATAATATTCCATTTTATATATTTTTATATATATATATATATATATATGTATGTATATATTTGTGTGTGTCTATGTATACACATATATAGACACACACACACATATACACACATATATACTAGTATATATTTATTTCATATTTGCTTTGTCCATTCATTCATCAATGGACATTTAGGTTGTTTCCATGCCTTGGCCATTGTAAATAATGCTGTAATGAGCATGGAGGTGGAGATATCTTTTCAAATTAGTGTTTTCATTTTTAGGTAAATACCCAGAAGTGGGATTGCTGCATCACATGGTAGTTCTGTTTTTAATTTTTTGAGGAAACTCCATACTGTTTTCCATAGTTGCTGTACCAGTTTACATTCTCACCAAACAGAGCACAAGTGTTCCCTTTTCCCTATATTCTGGGCAACACTTGCTATCTCTTGTCTTTTTTATAATAGTCATTCTAACAGGTATAAGGTTTTGATTAGCATTTCCTGGATGATTGATGATGTTAAGCATCTTTTCATGTGCCCTCTGGCCATTTGTATGTCTTTGGAAAAATATCTGTTTAGGTCTTCCGCCCATTTTTTAATTGGATTGTTTGTTGTTTTGCTGTTGAGTTGTATGAATTCTTTACATGTTTTGGATATGAATGACTTGCAGATATTTTCTCCCATTCAGTAGGTTGCCTTTTCATTTTGTTGATGGTTTCCCTCCCTGTATAGAAACTTTGTAGTTGTTTTTTTGTTTGTTTGTTTATTTTTTTGTTTAATCCTCTTCTGAGGATATATTTTTAGATAGAGGAAAGGAGTGATGAGACACCAATCTGTTAGCACCCATACGCACCCTCACTGGGGATTGAACCCGCAACCTAGGTATGTGCCTTGACAAAATCAAACGCACAATTTCGTGGTGTATAGGATGACATCCCAATCAACTGAGCCACAAGCCAGGGCAGGCTTTTTTTTTTTTTTTTAAGAAATTTTTAAAATATATTTTTACTGATTTCAGAGAGGAAGGGAGAGGGAGAGAGAGAGATAGAAACATCAATGAGAGAGAATCATTGATTGGCTGTCTCCTACATGCCCCCTACTGGGGATTGATCCTGCAACCTGGTCATGTACCCTTGACTGGAATCAAAACCTGGACCCTTCAGTCCTTAGGCCAAAGTTCTATCCACTGAGTCAAATCAGCTAGGGCAGGGCAAGCTTTTTAGTTTGATGTAGTCCCACTTTTCATTTTTGCTTGATTTTGGTGTCAAAACCCAAGAAAATCATTGCCAAGTCTTTTGTCAAGGAGCTTACTGCCTGTTTTCTTCTGGGACTTTTATGGTTTCATGTCTTACTAGTACACTCAAGTGTTTAGTTTGTTTTGAGTTAATTTTTGTGTATAGTGTAAGATAATGGTCCAGTTTCATTCTTTAGCACCTGGCTGCCCAATTTTCCCAACACCAATCTCTGACTGTCCTTTCCCATGGTATATTCTTGGCTACTTTGTCTTAAAATTAGTTGAGCATGTATGTGTGGATTTATTTCTGGGCTCTCAATTCTGTTTCATTGATCTATGTGTCTGTTTTTATGCCAGCTTATTCATTTTTTAAATAATGTTATTTGATGATTAAAAATTTTTAAATTCGGTAGAGTTTAGCTTATTGCATTTTTTTGTCTAGTTCTATTTGTGTCTAGTCTAAAATATTGTTATGTAACTCAAGGGTCATTAAAATAGTTTCTGTGGATTTTATTTTCTGGTGTCCAATTCATCTCAAATGGATTTTTTTAATTCAAATTTTTGTGTATGCAGTGATAATATAAGTCAAAGTTTCTTTTTTCCATTGAGTCTTTCAACACTGTTTATTAAAAATACTAGAGGCCTGGTGCACGAAATTCGTGCACAGGTGGGTCCCTCAGCCCGACCTGCACCCTCTCCAATCTGGGAGACCTCAGGGGAGCCCTCTCCAATCCAGGAGCCATGACGGCTTAAGCCCACTCCCCGTGGCTCTCTGCTCTCTGTGGGGCCTGGCCGCTCCATACCCACTGCCCAGAGGCTCTCCATGGCCCAGAGGCCCTCCGCAGCCAGGGCAGAATACTTGCCTCGTCGTCGCAGCAATGAAGCAAGCATTCTGCCAGGCAGCTCACGTTGCCCACTCTCAGCAGCTGCCCCCCCAGGACTGGGGGACTCCGGCGGGGTTGAGGGGACTGGGTGCCGCCATCTTGTTGCTATGGGCGCCGCCATCTTTGTGACAGAATGATGATTAATTTGCATATTATACTTTTATTAGATAGGATAGCTGTCCCGTTTTGCTTTAAGCCAATAATCCTATCTAATAAAAGGATAATATGCAAATCGACCTAATGGTGGAATGACTGGTTGCTATGACGTGCACAGACCACCAGGGAGCAGACGCTCAACATAGAGGCTGCCCCCTGGTGGTCAGTGCGCTCCCACAGGGGGGGCGCTGCTCAGCCACAAGCTGGGCTGACGGCTGGTGAGCACAGCAGTGGTGATGGGAGCCTTTCCCACCTCTGTGGCAACGCTAAGGATGACCGACTGCGGCTTAGGCCCACTCCCTGTCAGTTGGACATCCCCCGATGTCCAGGGCTCCTGGACTGGTAAAAGTCGCAGGCCGGGCTTAGGACACCTCCCCACCCCTCCACCCCGCCCCATTGCACGAATGTCATGCACTGGGCCTCCAGTATTGTAATAACTGTGTATGGTGTTAGATGGGTACTAGACTTACAATGGTGATCACTTTGTAAGTTACATAAATGTTTGATCACAATGTTGTACCCCTGAAACTAATATAATATTACATGTCAAATATAATTTTAAAATGAATTTTTTTAAAAGACTGCTTACCTACTCAGCCAGTGTGGCTCAGTAGTTGAGTATCGACCTATGAACCTGGAGGTCATGGTTCAATTCCTGGTTGGTCAGGGCACATGCCTGGGTTGCGGGTTCGATCCCCATAGCGAGTGTGCAGGAGGCAGCTGATCCAAGATTCTCTCTCTTCACTGATGTTTCTCTCTCTCCCTCTCCCTTCCTCACTCTGAAATCAATAAAAACATTTTTTTTAAAAAAAATTGAATTGCTTTGTTCTTTTATCGAAAATTATTTGACTCTGCACTTGTATTTCTATTTCTAATGCTCTTCTGTCCCATAGATCTATTCATACTTATTCCAATAACTCTTCATTACTGTGGTGAAGTTTGTAGTGTGAATCATTCAAGTTTGTTTTTCTTAATATTGTTCTGGCTCTTCTAGATCCTTTGCATTTTAATACACATTTTAGATTTGGCTTGTCAGTTTCTAGAGAAAAAGCCTGCAGGGATTTTGCTAGGAACTGTATTCTATCTGCAGCTGAATTAGGATAGCATGAATATTCTAATAATGGCTCTTGTAGTCCATGAAAATGATATTTTTCCCCACTTATTTAGGTCTTTAACTTCTTTCATCAGTGTTTCAATTTTTTATTGTAAAGGTCATCCACAGCTTTTGAATTATTATGAGATACTTTATTTTCTGCTATCATATATGGAACTGTTTTTTGTGTCATTTTCTAGTCTTTGCTGAGATCAATTTTTTTCTGGTTGTGATTACTATGAAAGGAACATAAGATTATTTGCTGAAAGAGGATAATGGTAAGACAGTTTTTTATTCAGAAAAACTGTTGAGGTTTTTACCTGGTTATGGGGATATTGGAAGATTGGATGCCTAGTATGCTTTCCTTTAGTGTAGATACTCCTTTGGGGTTAACAACTTTGAGTTTTGAAGGTGACCAGTTGTGTGTGGACTAGTCTTCCCAACTATCTTTAGAGATGAGGTAGATGGTTGGAATCATCCAGGCTGGTCTTTTTTTTTTTTTTTAAATATATTTTTATTGATTTCAGATAGGAAGGGAGAGGGAGAGAGATAGAAACATCCATGATGAGAGAGAATCATGAATCGGCTGCCTCCGGCACACCCCCCACTGGGGATCAAGCCCACAACTGGGCATGTGCCCTTGACCGGAGTTGAACCCAGGACCCCTCAGTCCGCAGGCCAACACTCTATCCGCTGAGCCAAACCGGTTGGGGCCAGGGCTGGTCTTTTGCTCATTCAGGGTTATAATAGGCAGAGGAATTTGGACAGATTGTAGAAGTGATGGATTGTGATAAATCTTGGCTTGATAGGTGGAGCAGTGAGAAGAGGAATTTGCTGTGAGGGAGATTGTAGAAGCATGAGTGGTCTGGAATCCTCTATAAAGTGAAAGAGTGCATGCAAGAAGAATGTTGTGTAGAAGTGTAGATTTCTGAATCATTGTTAGATAAAGTTGGCAACTAGAGATATCAAGGCCTGTGTGTTGGGTGCAGTTGTGTATGTTGATGTAGAGTGGGGGGCCAAATAGCACTGGAGATTGGAATACATGTAGTCCTAGATGGACCATCCTCATGGATGCTAGAATGATCCTAAACCATAGCATGTATCAAAGTTGAACAGAAGTCTGGGGCACAAATGTTTAATGAGCGAGGGAGTTTAACAGAGTTGTACTTGGTGACACATTACATGGGAGTCAGGGTTGTCCACCACATTGTCTGGCGGTCTTGCCTAAGCAAGGGAAAGGCTTAGGATCAAACAGAATTTGCTGCTCAAAAGGAGAACTACTGGAAAGCAGAAGTCAGAATTGTCCCATGAGCAGGAGAGATAGAAAGTCTTGATTTCTTCTAGTAATCTTTTTCTCATTTACTACAGATGCCTGCTCGAAGACTCCTATAAGAACAAGAGAGTAGCTTTCTGATGCTAGTGCCCTGTTGTTCAGGCAAATTTATTATCATTCTCACAGGATGGCAGCTCTTGATCTCTCTCCCACAAGTGGTAAGTTCTAGGAGTGAAGAATGCTCTCAGAATTCAAGCTTAAGTGGCCACTGCCACTTCCCAAGGACAGAGGGATTCATCCTGCCAGGGGAGGATGAATCAACTGGAAAGTAGTGGGAGCAAAGTCCTGGGAGAGCTTCTTGAGGTGACTGTCTGATTTAGGCAGGATCTTTGTGAGTTTGGGTGAGAGAGGGAGTGTGTGTAATTGGTGTGAAAAGAAAAACACAGGTATGGGTAGTAACCCTGAACTGCCTCATTTATTATTTTGATAAATCTGAGCAAAGCTCTTCTCTTAGTTAATTTCTTCACTCATAAATTGAGAAAACATATTACTTTTGTTACAGGTATATTGGCCCACCTCCCTTCTTCCTGTCCTTGAGTAGCGCAGGGCTGCTCTGGATTCTTACCGAATGTGGGGTGTGTGTGTATTTTGATGGGGAATGTGCACTGCACGCTTATAGTTTAGTAGTTTGTAGTAATTTGTGAGTGTCAAGCAAGCTTTTATTCTCATGGATCCTGTCTTCTCTAGCTATATCCATCCAGGAACCTGCCCATATCCAGGAGTCAGAAATTCCTCTTGCCTCAAAAGACCATTCTTGTCACCAGAATATGGACCTGTTTGCTTGTAATGGCCTGGAGCTTCATATGCCAACTAATGTCATTTCCCAGGTACGCCAATATCTCTGGGCCCCTGAAGGTGGGAGACACCCCCAATATCACATAATGAAATTCTTTTAGATTTTTATTCTGGTTAATTGATACCTGATCAGGGATCAAGAGACAGAGCCAAATAATGTTTCAAGGCTGTCGCAGTATCAAAGTTTTTAGGGAAAGTGACTTACATAGCAAATGTTTCTCTTATAATATGGTTTGAGCGCTCAGGCCAGGCTAAAAGTGGAGAGAGATTTTGATCCCATGTCAGAGTTGCATTTGAAGCAGTGAGACAGGGTAAGATCACCACATAAAGAAAACAGAACAGCTGCTGACTGGCTTCTGGAATAAATTTTGAGACACCAGAACCCCATACTGAAATCCTATGATTTGAATCTTTCATATCCAGTCTTCAGCCTCTGCCATCTTTGAACACAAGCTCTTTTCTCACTGATCCCAAATGTGGTGTTTCAGGACTCAGTGACTTTCCAGGATGTTGCAGTGGACTTTACTGAGAAGGAGTGGCCCTTGTTGGATTCTTCTCAGAGAAAACTATATAAAGATGTGATGCTGGAGAACTATAGCAACCTTGCCTCAGTGGGTAAGACTGGCATCACTTCTTCACTTATGAATCAAATAATTTTAAGTACTTGGCTTTAACCTAGGAGCAGGGTGGGGATTTGGAACACAATTGTGACCTGGTGCCTACCCTTTGGTGTCTCCCATGGATATTGAGACCTGTTTATTGCATTGACCTTGGAGGTTGTCAAATGTGTCTGAGCTTGGGCATAGGTTTCTGAATTAAGAAATCCTTAACTTCTGAGTTAAGAAATCTATTGAAGGACAAAACATGTGGGTGTTTGTGGTTTTGATTTTTATGACAGCCTTTCACTGTGTCCCTTAGAAATTTGTCACCATCATTTTGCTGCTCCTAAGTCAGTCTTGTCCATCTTCAGAACTCTTGACTTCAGAACACGTGTCCTCTGCACGATCCTCCCTCAACATGTATCTTTCCCCGTGAGTAGGGTGTCAGGTGGGGAAACCCAGCCTCATCTTCCACTTGGAGCAAGAAGAGGAGCTGAGAACAGAGGAGAGGGGACTTCCCCAAGGCACATGTCCCGGTAAGGACCTGCATCATAAGTGCTTCTGAGTAGTGGCTATTCTCAGTGATTGGGGTGGAGGGAAATCCATTAGGAAATTTCACCCAGGAATATATAAAATGCTCATTCTCTTTCATTGCTCCTCCATTCTCTGACAGATTCTTTGGTTTCACTATCCTTTCACCTTTAAATTTGACATGTCCACACGGAACTTTTTTCTATCCTTTTAAATTCAACATTCCTGATTATATTTTTTCTTTCATTAATGTTGGTCTTTGAAGAATTACTTCTTAGTGTGCTGACATAAATGTCTACCCCTTGTCATTGCCAAATATCACACAGTCAAATATTTCAGTCATTTTTACCCATGCATTCTTCCTTTTCACCTCATCTTTCCTTTTTTAGAATTGGTATTTTTTTTAAAATCACCTATTTTTGTCACCAGCGTTCTACCATTTTCTTGTATCAGCAAATTTATCTTTTTCCAATTTGTTTCAGATTGGGAGATTCCTTCTAAAACCAAGTGGTCTATTCTCATGGAAGATATTTTTGGGGATGAAACACCTAGTGGTATGACAATGGTAAGATTTTGGGGGGGTAATTCTGGTTCTTCCGTATTAGGAGATAAGTGGGGCAGCTTAAGTTAGAAAAGGAGCTCAAGAACTAGGCAGGTGGCATTCCCCAAGAGGAAGCAGTGTTAGAGACACTAATATTACCAATTACTAACCCCAAACTTTTCACTTAAGAGTTCTGATGAGTAAAAATTTCTATAGCTATGTCTTAGGTAATTGAGTGTTGGAGTTCAATTCAGATTTAAACAGTTAACAAAGTCTATTTTGTAAAAAGCTTTGTTGTGGTTACACACATGGTACCTTCGGGCATACATAACATTCACCTGTTCTACTTGATAGAGCCCACAGGGGCAGGACTAGTATTTTTACATCTATAGTCATAATGATGACATCTATAGTCATAATGATGTGCTTAATTTATGTCAGTTTATGTGGGGATAATTCTGAGGAATGAAATGAATATTGGAAATGCCTTAGTCAGCACTCATCTTTAAATCAACAGGAAAGAACTCATCTTGGAGAGAAATCCACTGAATATGCTCACCTGTTTGAAGTCTTCAGTATGGGTGCTCATCTTACTCAGCAAATGGGAAGACACACTGGCAGGAGGCCCTATCACCGCCGGGACTATGGGGTGGTTTTCAAAAACAGACCACATCTAACGCAACATGTGAGCATTTACAATGGGAGAAAAATGCATGAATGCCATCAGTGTCAAAAAGCCTTCACCACAAGTGCTTCTCTTACACGGCACAGGAGAATACACACTGGGGAGAAACCCTATGAATGCAATGTCTGTGGGAAAGCTTTCAATGATCCCTCAGCCCTTAGGAGTCACGCAAGAACTCACCTCACAGAGAAGCCCTTTGATTGCAGTCAATGTGGAAATGCATTCCGAACCCTCTCCTCCCTAAAGATACACATGAGAGTTCACACTGGGGAGAGACCTTACAAGTGTGATGAATGTGGGAAGGCATATGGCAGGAGCTGCCACCTCATTGCACACAAAAGAACACATACTGGAGAGAGACCCTATGAATGTCAAGACTGTGGGAAAGCTTTCCAGCATCCATCACATCTCAAAGAGCATGTCAGGAATCACACTGGAGAGAAACCCTATGAGTGCACACAGTGTGGAAAAGCCTTTCGATGGAAGTCTAACTATAATTTGCACAAGAAGAACCACATGGTAGAGAAAACATATGAATGTAAAGAATGCGGGAAATCCTTTGGTGATCTCTTATCACGGAGAAAACACATGCGAATTCATATTGTAAAGAAACCCGTTGAATGTCGTCAGTGTGGGAAAACATTCAGAAACCAGTCCATCCTTAAGACACACATGAATTCTCACACTGGAGAGAAACCGTACGGGTGTGATCTGTGTGGAAAAGCCTTCAGCGCCAGCTCAAACCTAACAGCACACAGGAAAATACACACTCAAGAGAGACGCTATGAATGTGCTGCCTGTGGGAAAGTCTTTGGTGATTATTTATCCCGGAGGAGACACATGAGCATTCATCTTGTAAAGAAACGTGTTGAATGTAGGCAGTGTGGGAAAACCTTCAGAAACCAGTCAACTCTTAAGACACACATGAGAAGTCACACAGGAGAGAAGCCTTATGAGTGTGATCACTGTGGGAAAGCCTTCAGCATAGGCTCAAACCTTAATGTTCACAGGAGAATACACACTGGGGAGAAGCCCTATGAATGCTTGGCTTGTGGAAAAGCCTTCAGTGATCATTCATCTCTTCGGAGTCATGTTAAAACTCACCGGGGAGAAAAACTCATAGTGTCATCAATGTGGAAAAGGCTCCAATGATAGCACCTTCTTTAAGAAACACAAGCGCTTAGACTGGAAGGAAACCTTTTAAGTTTCAGGAAGGCAGGAAAGCCTTTATTAATTCATCTTACTGAGCACAAGGGAATACATGTAACTTGAAAGATAAACAGTTTGTGTAATGACTGAAAAGACAAGTTTTTTTCTCATCTCTGAGAATTAATGCTGGGGGAGAAAATGTGTCTCTGTGGTGTGGAAAAGCCATCAGTGTACATTTAAGTCTTAACAAATGTGACAGCTGAGGAAGAGAAACCCTAGCCTGGTACTTAATGTTAAAATTACTGTTGTATCACCTGGCACCTTCTGAGCCTACAAGTAAAGTAAGCACACTAGGGAAACATGGAAAAGTCGGTAATGGGTCAGGAAACTACAGCCAGCTGTCTATGTATGGTTCTGAAGCTAAGAATAGTTTACATTTTTAAGGAAGAAAGTATGTGACAGAGACTGTGTGGCCCACAAAGAGTAAAATACTCATTGTCTGGCCCTTTACAGAAAAAAATTTGCCAATTCCTGTTGCAGAGCAGTGGTTATTGCCAGGGAGTGAATATGCTCCCCAGGAGACATTTGGCAATTTCTGGCGACATTTTTGGTTAAAACTGGGGAAGGCATTACCTTCATATAGTTGGAAGACATCAAGGATATTGCTAAATAGACTACAATGCATAGGAGCTCCCCAGAACAAAGATCTATGTGCCCTAAAATGTTAATATTGTCAAGGTTGAGAAACCTTGTCCTAGAACAGCTCCTCGATTTTTATGAAACTTGAGTACTAGTACTCATGGTAGGCGAATTTCTGTTTAACACTTCCAAAATATAACCAGTGTAATTAATTCTTTCAAGAAATGCAAGAACCCACACTGCCGGCAATCCCTATGTGGAAATGATTTCAGCCACAGACCCCTCACATTGCTTATGAAAATTCATTCACACCTCTAAGGAATTTTCTAGTGAGTGTGAAATTGCATTTGATGTATTTCATCATGAAAATAGACACTAGCTCATAAATTTTTAGTCTTTAAGGTTATGCTCTAAATTACCCTTACACACATCACAATATGTTTGTGTGTAGTGCAGCCGTGGGCAAACTACGGCCTGCAGTCCGGCCTGTTTGAAATGAATAAAATTAAAAAAAAAAAGACTGTACCCTTTTATGTAATGATGTTTACTTTGAATTTATATTAGTTCACACAAACACTCCATCCATGCTTTTGTTCCAGCCCTCCGGTCCAGTTTAAGAACCCATTGTGGCCCTCGAGTCAAAAAGTTTGCCCACCCCTCATGTAGTATTTTAATTATAATTTCACTCTTAAGAATGTGTTAACTTCCTTTTGGATGATTAACTTGACCAATAGACTCTGTAGAATCTTAGTTACTGTGAGCCGTGGGTATTTTTTTTTTAAATATATTACTGATTTTTTACAGAGAGGAAGGGGGAGGGATAGAGAGTTAGAAACATCGATGAGAGAGAAACATCGATCAGCTGCCTCCTGCACACTCCCCACTGGGGATGTGCCTGCAACCAAGGTACATGCCCTTGACCAGAATTGAACCTGGGACCCTTGAGTCCGCAGGCCGTTGCTCTATCTACTGAGCCAAACCGGTTAGGGCACAGTGGGTATTTTTAGTGCCTGTTTGTTTGAGTATCTAAATCAAATGCATTGTGATCAGACTATGATGTCTTCATCAGATGAGTCCTTGGGATGTTCCAGTCAACAGTGGCATATACTTCTAGTTGCTTCCCTAGTGTCTCATCTTCCATATCAAGAAAACTCAATTTTTGTCAGATTAGTAAGGTGTACTATTTTTAAAATTTCTTACAAGTTTCCTTACAATTCATACAGTCCATGTTCCACAGCCTGTCCGTTATCAAATAAGCAGATGTTAATATACGGGCTTTGAGAAGACTCCTGAAAAAAGGGCCATTCTTACCTGGATTCTTCTCCACTTGTTTTTTTTATTTTTGTTCTTCCCCCCACTTCTCACCGAGCAAGGAGATCCAGTACCTTGTGTTAAAAGATCCATCTTATGACCATGAGGATGCAAGGCACAGGCTAAGAAGGATCATGCAGAAAATTCACAAACGATTCTGGCCTCCCCAGGGGCTTTAGGTGTCTATACTATCCCTGAATTCACTTTCAGACTTCCTATTACATGGAAAAATAAAACTGATTATTGGTTTAAGCTGCTTTGGATATTCATTTTTTTTTTTTTCTATTAGTTTTCTTATTGGCAGAGGGAGGGTTCTGCCTCATCCAGCTAGATGCTGTCTAACCCATTCACCTGTGACAGAGACTGTGTGTGGTCCACAAATGAGTTTTGTAACGGCTACACATATGGGTATAATCTGCTTAAGCTTTTAACTATTGGGTATGGATTTTTAAGTTCTTCAAGCCAAATTTTAAAATTGCATTTCATATCTTTGATCTACTTAAACATCTATTTCCCTTTCTTCTTGTATTGAAGAACTGTATTTGTTTTCACAGAAGTGCTAAGTGGGCATTTACTTTATCCAGTTTCTTCTTAAGGTGAAGAAAACTCTTTGTAAGTGTCCTAGAGAAATACAGTACCTTTCTGTCCACACTTTGCAAGTAAAAGGGTGGATCGTTCCACTACTGACATATTTAAAAAAAAAAAAAAGTGCTGAGAAGCAGGTGCCATTAATATTCTTTTGCACGTGGAGAATTTGAGGCAAGGAAGTTTAGGTGACTTGTCTGAAGCCAACCTGTTAGCAGGTAGGAGTGCTTGTCTTTAAACCCTGGTGTCTGATTCCAGAGTGTATATTCCTGTCAGGCCTTGTTCTATGCCCCTGGTCTATAGTGAATCAAGATATTCGCCTTCAGGTTGCTTACATTCTACTTGGGGTCGAGGCACCTGATAAATGAGTAAATATATATTATCTCTGATGGTGGTCAGTGCATGGAGGAAAAATTAAGCATGTGATGATGAGAATGTGGGATTCAGTGGAGCTGTGGGGTGTATAGGGAAAGCCTTTTGTGTAAGGTGACATTTGCGCAGAGATGTAAATGAGCTGTAAGTGTGGGCTGTATTGTGATGTGGGGAGGAGCACCCTCAACAGCAGTTCAAAGGCCGTGAAAAAATTTTGTGCTTGGGATAAGGGGCCAGTGTGAGTGGAGTGGATCAAACTTGTGAGTTGAAGATGATGAGGTCAGAGCTAGATCAGGGTCCTGATCATGGGGACATCCTGTAGGATTAACTGGAAGGACTTTGCCTTCATTCTCAATATGGAGGGCTTTGAACAGAGGATTGGCAAGTGTCCAGTTAAAAGGATCACAGTGGCTTCTGGGTTGATAGGCTAAATAGAGGGACAAGGTATAAACAGGCCATTGCAGAATTTAAGTTACATATAATGGTGGTCAGATTAGTAGGGGTAGTGGTGGTTTGAGAGTCACATTAATGACAATAGCCCTAGTTTCATATTCATTTTCAGATTATGATTCTGTTAGTATACCACAAGTTATTTACCTATTCTGCTGATGTGCAGTTAGTTACTGGACTGTTTTCACTTTCCTCATTATGAGCAATGCTGCTTTAAGAATTTTGTCACAGGTCTTCTGGAGTATTGGTGAGTTATTCCAGGAATGTGAAATTGCTGGGCTGTAAAGTCTGTGCATGTTCTGTTTATTAGTGTAATGCCAAAGTCATTTCTAAATTGTATAATGATATTTTGTGTATGTGTGGTAACATTTAAAACAGATTTTACTAAAATGCAGAAAAATACTTAATTTGTACATGTACAACAGCTAAATTATCATGTATCCATATAATCACGTATCCTTAATATATGAAGACATCCATATAATCAGGCAAGAAAAAGTACTACCAGCATTCCTGATACCCCTTCTTGCCTCTTTCAACTGACAAACCCTTCCCTACTCTCTGTAGGTGACCAATATTCTGACTGACAATATGGCTTGGGGTTTTTGTTTCTTACCCCATACAAATGGAACCATACAGTATATGTTCTTTTGTATCTGTCTTAATTTTCCCTAATGTTTTTGTGAAATTGATGCATATCGTTTTGAGTATCTTTAGCTAGTACATTTTATTGTGTTCCCTTGTTTTGAATATCCCACAGTTTGTTTAAGCACTTTGTGTTGATGGGCAGACATTTTGACTTTTCAGCTTGGGACTATTATGAATAATGCTGCGATGAGCATATTTTAATATTTCTGATAGTGCACAGTGTATGTATTTCTCTTGGGTGTGTACCCTGTATTGAAATTGCTGGTCATATGTGTTGCATATGTTCACTTTTCATAGATGATGCCAATTTTCCAAAGTGGTTGTGCAAATTTGCTTTCCAAGAAGCTATTTTATTGAATTACCTGCCTTTTTCTTATTATGTATTCCAGATGTGAGCCCTGTGGTTGGATATATTTTACAAATATTTTCTCCAACTTTGTGGCTTGTCTCTTCAATGTTTTAACTTGTATTTTTTTATGAAATGAATTAATTTTAATGTCATCTAATCTTTATGGACAGTGCTGTTCTGTTCCAGAGTATTTGCCCACCCCGAAGGCAAGAAGATATTCTACATTTTTTTTCTACAAGTCCTATTGTTTCAATATGTACATTTAGATCTAGCGTTCACCTAGAATTGATTTTTGTGTATTTTTCCCACATTGATCCAGATCATTTATTTTAAAAGTACATCTTTACCCCAAGTTCATCTCCTTTTGAGATACCACCTTTGTCATATACTGAGTTTTATGTGTTTTTAGCCTAATTCTGAACTTTATTTTTTTTTGACACAATGTTTAAATTATAAGAAGCTTTATAATAAGTTTTAATGTCTATGTGAACTGGTTTCCCCCTCACGGTTTTTCTTTTTCAGTGTTTCCCTAGGTATTCTTGCCCTTTTGTATATGCACTTTCCTATTGTCCAACTCCACAAAATTATCTTGTTGGTATTTTTATTGGCATTGCCTTGAATTTATAAGTTCACTTGGAGAGAACTAACATCTCTATTTTGTTAAATCGTCTTATCCAAAAACAAGGGGATGTCTTTTCATTTTAGTGTTTGTCAGGAATGTTTTTAAAAATCTACTTAAGTGTTTGTCAGGATGTTTAAAAATTTTCCTTGTACAAGTTTTCCTTATAACAAATTTTTGTTGTTTCCCCTAAATATTTAATTCTTTATTTAAATGAGATTTTTCTATACCATTATGACTTTATAGTTTCTGTATATGAAAGCTACTGATTTTGTATCTTAATTTTATAACTTGCTATTGACTGAATTTTTTTTACTTTTTAAGTTTTATTATTGCTTTTTTGGAGTTTTCCAGACATAATACTGTGTCATCTGTAAATTATGATAGCTTTATTTGTTTACCAATTCTTATGCCTTTGATTGTTTTTGTTTGTCTAATTGCATTGGCTAATACCTCTAGTGCAGTGATAAGTAGTAGCAGAAATAGTGGGCATTCTTACCTTGTTCTAGGGGTAAGGTCCCTTTTGTTTTTCCATTAATTAAGATAATGTTTTAGAGTAAATATTTATTTTATCATATTTAGAAGGTACATTATACTCTTGGAAGTTTACCATGAATGGGTGGTGAATTTTGTCAAAGTTTTTCTGATTTATTAATACTAGTATATGATATTAATAAATTTCTTAGCATTCAAAAAGTCTTTCATTTTAATGAATTTCACTTGGTCATGGTGTATTATTTTCTTAATGTGGTTTTGGAATCTGTTTGTTAGTATTTTGTTTAGAATTTATTGATTTTCATGAATGATAATTGGCCCATAGTTTGCTTTGTACTGTCTTTATCTGGCTTAGGTATTTGTATTATACTTGCTTCATAAGAAGATATAGTAATATTTCTTTCCTTTTCATTGCTCTGGAATAGTTTATATAGCGTTAGTACCCTGTGGTTTTGGAAGATTTGGTCGAACTCACTGTGCAACCATTCTGGTCAAGTGCTTTTCTAGTGGGATAGTCCCTTAGGAATTTTGTTTCTTTTATGGTCATTGGTCTGTTTGAAGCTTTCTAACTTGAATGATGTCAGTGTTGGTAATCTGTATTTTCCTAGGAAATTGCCTAATTCATCTAGTGTAGAGGTCAACAAAGTCATCTTATGATTTAAAAAATGTTTTCTGACTCTGTGTCATGACCTGTTTTTTTGTATATTTGCCTTTCCTTTTTCTGAATCAAATGAGTGGTTTATTTGTTTTAAAAAAATGGAATTTTGACTAGTTAGATTGATTGCTTTTCTGTGTTCCTCATTAATTTCTTTTTTTTTTTTTCCAAACAAAAACAAGCAAAAACAAACCAAAAATACCTTAATTTTAGCCTAACAGCACCAGGTGCAATGTCTGGTGACAGATAAGGTACAATGCTGTGTGACCACTCACATATACAGCTCTAAGAAGGCTCCCGAGGGGAACTACCTCCAGGGGGCTGAACCAAGGGGAGGAGGGGAGTCCCCAACGAGGTGTGGACAGGCATGGGGAAAAGGCACTACTTCTTGACAAAGGAGATCTTTGCGGGGTAGTTCTGGGTGATCTTGAACCCCTCTAGGGAGTCTCAAAGGGCCCCTGCCTGTACCCCATTGTCAGACTCCACAAAGGCCATGTCATGCTGCTCTAGGACCAGCCAGACCTTGAAGACAGAGAACTGGTTGAAAAACATGGACAGCATGAACTTGTTGGTCTCTGGCAGGTTGCTGAGGAACAAGAGATGATTCAGTGGGTTTTCTGCAAGAGGCTGGATAGGTGACATCTGACCTGGCATACGCTGCGGGGGCAGTGGCTCCGGTGGGATCTGGCCATGTTAGAGACCTGGAGATGGGATCATGCCAGGGGACAGCATGTGGGGAGGCTGGTCCCAAATGTGTGCACGATGCGGGGCACCTGAGTCATGGCCCCATGCCCAGGACAGGTCCTGGGACAGCCCCCACGATGAGAGACTGACTGCCCTACCCTGTGCCACTTTCTTAGCAGCTGGGGTCTCCTGCCTCTTGGGTTTCCTCTTTTCCCACTTCTAGTCCTGCTCCACAAAGGCGCCCTTCATCTTGGCAATGATATCCGAGTCGGTATTGGCATACGGGGGCGCATGGGTTTGTTGTAGAAAGGGAAGCCTGCATGGAGCGCCAGGCCCTGGTGCTGCTGTCCTTTTTGAAGATGGCAAGGGCCTGGCCCTCATCTTCAGGCTCTGTGACCGGATATTCAGAATCTGGCCAAACTGGGAGAAGATAGCGTACAAGGACTTCTTCAGCTCATTCTTCTGGATCTTCTCATTCAAACATAAGGCTGATATAAACAATAAGGCTGGGGCAGGTCTGAGGAACTTCCATGAAGGGAGGTGTCATGGTAGGGTAACAGAGCCACAAGTCTGGCAAGTGGCTTCTCAGTGCTCAGCACCTTCCTCATTAATTTCTGCTTTTATCTCCATTTTTTCTTTATGCTTTCTTTTGGTTTATTTTTTTTTTAAACTGGTAATTGATTCTTAATCTTTTATTGTCAAGTGTTTTGTGCAGTGAATTTTCCTTTGTTCACTGCTTTAAAATGCATTCCATAGAATAGAGCATATGTCTTAGAAATCATTATTTCTTTAAAATTCTGTAATTTCAGTGTGTATTTCTCCTTTCGCTCAGGAGTTAATAAGAGGTTTTTAAATTTCCAGATAGAAGAGCCTTTTTTTGTTTTTGTTAATAAATTCTGGGTGTATTTATATGTTGATTTTCTGCAATTTAAATATAATATGCCTCAATGTAAATTTTCTTTGGGATTGATTCTGCTTGTTGATCTCTTAGCTTCCAGGATCTGTGGTTTGGTGTTTGTAATTAATTTTGGAAAATTCTCATTCATTATTACTTCAAATATTCTGGTCCTTTCTCTCATTCTTCTAGTATTCCCATTACACATGTTACACCTTTTGTAATTGCCCCCACAGTTCTCAGATATACTGTTCATTCTCTTCTTTCCTTGTATTTTCATTTGGACATTTTTTATTTCTAACATTCCCTTTTGATTCTTTGAGTTTCTCTTTGCTTACGTTACCCATTTGTTTTTACACGTTCACTTTTTCTATTAGAACCCTTAACATATTGACTATAGTTATTTTAAATTCCCCATCTCATAATTCCAAAATCTCTGCCATATCCAAGTCTGGTTCTGATGCTTGCCTTCTCATTTTAGACTTACTTTTTTTCTCACTTTTTAACATGCCTTGCAGTTTTTTGTTGAAAGCTTGACATGATGTGTTAGGTAAAAGGAACAGCAAGTAGCAGGCCTTTAGTGTGCTTTTTCTTGCTAAATGTTAGTCTGTTTACTGGTTGCTGTAGCTACTGTGTCAGAGATTAAAGCTTTCTCTAGTGTCCTTATTTTTGTCTCCCCTGTTTTTTGGGGGGTTCTTCTATAGACTCCTTAAATAGAGGCTACGACTAGCATTTTTTTTTTTTCAACTGTATTCCCATTATACAGGAGCTTAGACAAATCTTTTCACCCTTTAGTGTAAGCAACACAAGCTCTGTTATGTCTTTAACTAGCCTACTGCTATGTTCCTGAATTCAGAATAAAAGCTGATTTTTTTCTAGCCTACCCAATTACTCCTTGGGAATCTAAGTAAATAAAAATGCTTCCTAAAGACAAGTTCCAGACTCAGACCCTTGACAATTGTTTTGACTTAATGTTTTTCACAATTTTGAAAAACTATCCTCCCCACCTCACATAGGATGTCAGATTTGAATATTTTTTTTTTTACATAGATTAACTACAGTCTTCCACACACCACAATAAGATGATCATTCATCTGTGACAGACAGGCGGGAAGAGTCAGCTTATCAGCTAGAAACTGGGACCCTTTGTCAGAGTGCTTACTCTGTTCAGACCCCGCTTCCCTTCTTGACTGCTCTGCCTTTCATGTCTGTATCAACTGATGAATCAGTTGGGCTCATCGTTCCTGATGCAGGGGGCACATGGTCACAGGTCACATGAATACATTTAAGCATTAATATCTTACACCTGCCTTTCTGAAATCTCTGCACCCAGCCTTTTCCCTTGGAATGCTTGTGTGTGATCTTTGGGTGAGTGGTGGGGGCACTTTCTCATCCTTGAATGAAGGTGCTGAATGTTGCATAGGCCTTGCTCAATAGTTTCCCATACTCATTAGTGAAGAAATAGCAATCATTGCCCGGCTCTTGCCTAGTTTGGAAAAAGTAAATGTGTATACCCTAGATGCCAGGCCTAAGGGGAATAGAGCACTTCTCTCAGCATTGAGTAAAATGGGGCTATTTCTTTAATTAGGAGCCTTGGAATCCAGTGTAATTACTCCCTCTGTGCCCAGTCTCTCTATCACATTAATTAGTACAGGAGGAAACACAATTCCCATCTCCACCTGTGTCCCAGAGCTCTTGAATCTCATTGCACTGCCTGCTAGTTCTTGGGACAGACATCATAATCTTGCTCAGTCTCTCTGGAGGGGACTTCTAATTATACTCTTACCTAGTGTTGCCTCATTATGGCTTCTAATTCTTGGGGCTTCTCAGTAGTAAGCAGCTCTGCCTTGTGTAATGTTTGGGTAACACCAATTCACTCACGATTGTTCCCTCTGGAGAACCAGTGAATTATTAGTTAAGTGTCTAACACCTAATTAGGCTTTGGGAAGAAAGACAATAAGACATACTATTGTCCTTAAAGGAATAATGGTCAAGGTGAGACAGACATAAACAATAAATAAGATAGTCCATCCAGGAAGTCCCCATGAGCGGGTGCTGCCTGTGGAGTGGTCAGGGAAAGCCACAGGGAGGAGGTGGTGCAAGCCAAGTGTGGATGGCTTGTGTATTGTGTTGAATGAGTATGCCAATCCCGAGCCTAAGGCACGGCAAAAACACATCACGTTCTCTGACATGGAAAAGGACAATCTTTGAAGTAGGAGATAAAGCTGGAGAGGTAAAATGAGACAGATTATAACACACACACACACAGAAACATACATTAACACTATATACCACTCTCAATGTAAATGTTAATTAAAAGTTGATGGAAATCCATTGACAATTGAGATTTTCAGTTGAGAAGTGACCTGCACCCCATAGTAGAAGGGAATAAAGGGGTCTGTTTATATTTGCTGCACAGTGAACTGCCCAAAGCACAGTGCTTTAATATAGCTCACTTTCTTTAGTTAACAGTTGTGTTGGCTGACAATTTGGGTTGTGCTTAGCTGGGCTTAATCAAGTGCCACTTTGGCTTGGGGGTTACTTGCTCTTCACTGAGGTCGATCCTGCACCTATCTAGGTGGGGCCTGTATGCATGTTGCTGGAAGATCCAGGACAGCTCAGGCGCCACTGTTTACATGTTTGTCAGGTTCCTGCTTGTGTCATGTTTGCCTTGTACCCTGATGCTCAGTGCAGTCTCATGGATAACCCCAGAGTGGAACGGTATTCAGAGTTATCCAGAAGGGGCGTAGGCACAGGAAAGTGAATAAGTGGTAGCTGTTTTTGCCGGCACCACAAGGCCACTGTTTGGATGGCAGGTGGCCAGTGTAGAGGGAATAGCTTTATATAGTTAAAATGGACATATAATAAATGTTAGGGGTTTGGCCAGTGATGCGGCCTGTGAAAGAATTCACAACTAAAAGAAGAGATGCAAAGAGGTTTATTTTACTTTCCCGAAGGGAAGGGAAA